AACAGAATGCTGGAAGAGCTAGAAAAAATGCTAATGTCAACTTAGCTATGTCTACTTTGGCTATGTCTGGCAATGCACCTGTAAACCATGATTCATGCGTTGTTGAGTGGAGCATCACAGTGCATTACTAGAGATAGAAAAAGGTTTGTAAAAATGACAACGAGCAAGGAACATGTATGTTTGGCAAATGGATGGAAGGTGAAGGCGGCTGGTGAAGGTAATGCATGCTTGTTCATTCCTAAAGGAGAAGTTACCAATGTTGTATGTACCTAAACTGAGATTTAATTTATCATCAGTAAGGGCTCTAGTTAATATTGGCTATGTGGTAACCTTTAGGGGAGATAACTGTATAATTGAAAAAGAAGGTAATAGAGTTACTGCCAAATTAACAAATGGTTTATATGTTATACCGGATGGACAGACGACTAACACAGCTTATGATGTGAACCCACATGACGAATGTATACACTTACTACATAGACGTATAGGGCACATTAATTTCAAGATGCTGCAACAAACTGTTAAATTGGCGGAAGGAGTAAAATTAAAACCATGTAATAAATATTTAAACTGCAATGTTTGCAATCAGGAGAAGAAAGACCAAAGTTATTCCTGCAAACAGACTGAATGGTTTTAAAACAAAGGAACCTTTGGAGGTTGTTTTTGCTGATTTAATAGGACCTTTAAAACCCAGTTTGGGAGGTGCCTGTTATGATTTGGGTATCATGGATCATTATTCCCGATACGGTTTCTGCTATTTGATGAAAAACAAAACAGAAACATTTCAGCATTTCTTCAATTGGTTGAGGTTTGCGGAGAGAAAGATGAAAGCCAAGGTTATTACTTTAGTTACTGATAATGGGACGGAGTTTACAAACCAGAAATTTCAAACGATGTTAAAATCAACTGGAATCGAACACAAACATTCTGCTCCTTATAGGCCACAACATAACTCGTTTGTAGAACGAAAGGGGCAAATGTTACAGGCCATGGTTCAAACTATGATAGCTGATTCAGGTTTGCCGGAAACACTGTGGGGTGAAGCTATGATGTGTAGTAACCAGTGACGTGCGGTGACGGTTACCGTTGGTGAGGCAAGACTGCAGCAGCGGCGAGAAGCAACGTCCCCGGCACTGTGTCCGATTCC